ACATGATGTACACGTAGTAGGACAAAGGTGCTGTATTGCGTCACTTCGTAGCAGACACCACCGATCCAGACGCATCCACCCGCTTCCGGAACAAACTCGAGACTTGGACAACCAAGTGGAAGTCGCTCACTCGCAGCAGACGCTGGCTACCGCGAGACTCGATAATTTTGCGGGGCCAACTGCATCACGTGCAGGTTCTCGTCCCTATCCACCGCTAGCAGCGCCAGTTTCTTCTCAAACACACTGAACACTGTCGCAGATACCTCCACAGGTTTATAGTCCTTGGCTAGCAGCACCAACTACCTCTGCATCTCCCCCAAACGCAAGAAATGTATGCTCTTGTAGACGTCTCCGTACATGACAAAGTCCTTCACCTCACTGAGCGTCACGACGTACATCTGCGCTGTCGTAGACCACGCAGCCGATCAGCTGCTCTGACTTAAACTCGTACACGATGAGCTTGGAGCCCACGGCGGCCAAACACGTTCGGGCCGAGCTGCGGGACCATGGAGATGGCTCCCTGTCTGTGCTTTTTGATAAAAACTAGTCGCAGCTTGGGCAGCCTCCCATTTGTAGCGCCGCCTTCCTCGTTAACGTACTGAGCGTAGTCGAGTTCGTACAGCAGCAGGCGACCACGACCGCTTTCATCCTCGCCATGGAGACCCACCCAGATCGTGCTTGCCGACAGGAACTACACCTTTTCAACTTCAAAATGGCGACAGGTAAAATCAAAGTGACAAAACGTAAGTTCAAAATGACATGACACTGACACTTAATATTTATGGGAGTATTTACGTTTGGAGTTCATTAGATGAAAGAGGCAAAAAGTGGCGGCAACTACTCCCGCCAATTTTGGTGGATGCTGGCTGGCTGTACGGCGTCGATGGAATCAGTGGACACTGTTGCTGCAGTTTGTGGCCGCACTGCCTTTCATTCATTTAGCAATTCTCACTGTGTTTCCTACCCACACAGCAATGCTGTACGACGACGCTACCGTTTCGACGGGGTTCTCCGTGCAGCTCACGAAGGCCAAGATTGGCTGCGATGTCGCGCTCAAGAACGATGTCAAGCTTCGCACTGCTTACCGCTGGATCAATGCGGCCGAGGACAGCGTTGCACACCATGAAGTTCCATGCGCGTGCGATCCAGATGAAAGATATGCCTGTAGGAGAATAAAGACAATATCAAGTTTGGCTTTGCTGGCTCCTATGTTCGATGTCATTTTGAACTTACGTTTTGTCACTTTGATTTTACCTGTCGCCATTTTGAAGTTGAAAAGGTGTAGAGTGCCGACGCCTCCATCCGACATGCACATGACGTGCACGTAGTAGGACTGAGACACAAAATATATTGTGTGCACCATATTTTGCAAATATTAATAAGCATAATGATTCTTAGACGGAATTCGTCGGACATTCGTCAGTCATCGCCATTTTCATGAAGTTTGATAGGTTTACCTAGAGAACGTCATATAACCCGTGTTTGAGTTGGGCACTTGCTTGCCGTGTCTTGCTGGCATTAATGGCGAGTATGTGCCCAACTCGATCCTTCTGCCGGTCTGTTATTTTGTATTGTTGTCAGACAGTTCGTAAGTATTATGCATGTTCTTTCAATGTGTCACAAATAAGTCTCATAAGTCGACACAACAGAGCTCGCACACTAAAAAGCTATGACTGACAACTCAATATGCACGTACGATACGTCTGAGAGACCAGTACGCTATTTGATACCTACAACTAAACACATAGAGCTGATAGTTGCTCTTCATAGCGGCAAAGTGCGCCGATGCCAGCTCGGCGTACTGGCACTGCCCGCCGCTGAGCCCTTTAGGTCATGGAGGACAACTGCCCGAAGGCGTCCACAAGCTACTGTGATAACCAAGTTGGCTGTCACGATGGCTTGTGGACATGTACATGCAGGATGCTTAGCTAGTGTGGTAGAAGGGATAATGGTAGGCAAATATGAGCTTAAAAGTCGCCACAGACGGTCATGCAGGCTCTGCTGCGAGCAAATGCTGCCGACACTTTAATAACTTCGTAATAATTGGTCTAGAAAACATAGATAGTTGCTGTCCGCACTCAACACTATCAAATGCGTCGACTGGGTCAAAGTCCGTTTTGCTCTAATTTACTCAAGTTGCTGGTTCGACACTTGTCTGACGAATTCTGTGCAAATCGGTCTTTGCGATTTTTGCCATACAATTCAACAGAGGGGAAAAACAGCTTTTTCAGAAAATGTCAGACATGTCCGACGCGAACAATCAGATGGGTACGATGTCCGACAGAGGTGCTCGATAGTCACCTTAGAGACGACGCTCCACGCAGACCCGCGCTTGCTGTTAGAGTTAACGTGGAGGTTGTCAATAGTTGTACCATCGGTCTCCACGCTCACAGATTGCACGGGCTGCTGAAGCGAATTCTCCCTCACGTTCGTCGCCATCTGGAGCGCTATCATCTCCACAGAGGATGTCGATAGTACTACTAACGGTCTCCGTGGAAACGACGACACTCCTATGATTTGCAGACCCATGCTCACTGTTTGAGTAACCGCGGAGGTGGTCGATAGTTCTACTATCGGTCTCCACAGTCACAGATTGCACGGGTAGCTGACATGGGGATCGCGACGACGGGTATGGCTCTAATGTTGGCGGCGACGGGTATGGCTGGGTCCGCTCTAACGGAGAAGATGGCGGCGACGTGTATGGCTGGGTCGGCTCTGACGGAGAAGATCCCGGCGGGGATACCAGCGAGTTCCTTGAAAAAAATCGGCGAGTGAGGACTGACTTTTTTTTCTTCTTCGAAGTCCGAGGATAACCTGGTCGGTATTTTGCCAAATGAGTAACTCGCTAAGCTTTAAAAACCTTAACTCGCTTGAAGTTGTACCAGACAAAACCCCGAGAAAAATCTTGTGATTGATGTAGTGCGTCAGTCTCCAACGTGCTGATCACAAACCAATGTCTTCCCATGCCCCTGGCTAGCGTGACCATCACCTTCAAACTCCTGATGTCATCCACGAGCGATTAAACGTTGTGTCGGAGCTGCATGCTAGTGGTGGTCGTGCCCCCAGCAGATCTGGCCAGATGACGCCATCGACACCAGCCCAAACACCAGCCAATTTCCAGCCTAACAGTTCACAGACCAGACAGCTATCGTCTCGTCAGCGAAAGCAGCCACGACATTATAGTCCCTCGCCACAGCACCCTGCTTGAAGTTGTTGGAGCTTCTTGACTCTCTATGTGTGCTGCTTCCAAGCGCGATCGAGCTCTGTTCCGATAATAGCGAGAGGCATGGACAAGAAGAGCGTACCAGACATGATAATCATGACAGCGAAGCAGCGGCTTGCCACGTTGCCTTTCGTCGGAGTGATGTCTCCGTCCGATGGTGGCCACAGTGACCACTACAAAGTAGCCCGTGGTTAGTAGCTCGGAGAAACCTGGTTTATGGTGGTCGTTACTCGGATCTACCATGTACATGACAACAGAGAAGAAGAGCACAATTTCCGTGAAGAAAATCAGAGTCACGGAAATGGGAGCGACACTGGCGCGGATAGCTCGCAGCAGAATGTATGTTCCGGTGTGATTGTGTGCCAATTCGAAGATACGAAGCAGTCGGCATAGTCGCATGATGACGAAGCTCTTCTCCTTACCGAAGATAAGGTCGGTGTAGAATGGGACGATGGTAGCGACATCGAACCAGTTGTGCCCAGGGGTACTCCATTTAATGCCTCAGGGGCTTTATAGCAGGGTGGGGCTCAATTTGAGGAGTTGGCCAACAGAGGTCGAATAAATGAACAGAGGTTAACGGGCCAGCAAGACGAAAGCGTGTCAAAGCTTGATGCAACGATGAGCCCGCATTTCAGATCTCGATATTTCCGCCCCTTCTTCATATGCTACGTTTCCCATAGCGAATCCGTAGCTGTTATTAGCAGTCTCGCGAAACCCGTTGCTTCTATCAATAAATGACTGTGGAGCAAATGCCGTCACCTTCTTGCTTGCGTATTTTTCTTTGAACTCGATATACTTTGAACGGCATCGATGTAAGAACGTAGCGAGCTCCATCACATCAGACGACGAACGATTTCGCCAGCTTCGTCTGTGTAGCTCGGCATATGATTCGAGTTGATTCGAGTTGGAATATTCCAATCTAGCACCCTTTCCCTTTGACGGGGCACGAAATCGAACGGCTGTTGTTAAGATGTTTTGAAAGTCAGATGCTGTTGTTGTAGTTATTCACAGATGGAGGTTTATAGATCGATGCTCCCATAGGCTTTCGAGTGAATGGAGAATGTCCAAGCACAGTCATACCACCAACCACCAAACATTTATAAGGTGCTGGCAAATTCACAGCCAAGACGAATTTACACAAAATATGTACATTAATCTATCATCGCAATCGTTCCCTACTGCAAATGCACGATGAATTCATGATTACATTTGTCAAATGGAAGATTGACTTTGCAAAGCATTATGATGTACCACATATTCATGTTGCATGAGCGCTGACCCAGTTGACGACAAATTAATCCTCGCTGATAGCTAGCTTACGCTACCTATCTCCCAGTATAAACTGCCAATTGAAGCCGCTCAGCGAACGCTCGAAAGAGCAAACACGATTTTTCTTACATCAAATACATGCTAACTGTATAGTACTTTAGTATCGAGTTTTGTTCAATAAAATAATCATTACAATACATGTGTAGAAAATACAACAGTACTTGTTTCAAATTTTGACTAGACATTCCTTAAATGTGTCCTCAAAACCCGCTGCAACATGTACTTGCAAACATAAGAACTCAAAAGTGCTTATTAGACAAGCAAAAAAAGGAATATCGACGCCGAATATGCATGCGTTTAGTGTCCGCAGCTCTTCGGTTTTTCACAGGTCGCCTTCGTTGTTGCCGTGGCTCTAATGCTGCACGACCGAGTTGGTGCGTTGCATCTGGTTGCTGGCTTGTGGCTGCAGCCCCTTAGCGGTCGGTTGCCGTAGTAGTTGGGGTCTCTCCTACGCGTACTGGCGCGGGTTCCGCATCTTGGGCGTCATGTCGTCCGCCATGGAGCCTCCTCGACTTTGGTAGTTGATAATGTTGTTGTCGTACTGCGGTTCGCCCCCCAGCGCGAAGGAGGCCTCGGATCCTTCCTGTGCCTTGGTGGTCTGCACCGTCTTCTCGTCTGCTCCGTCTTCCTCGTGCGGTAGAATAGGTACACTTGGCGAATCAAAGGACACACGACCTGCAAGCCTACAATCGCAAAGGCCACGCCCTCCCGTGGATCGTCCGGGTTGCTCTCGGTGAAGCTCGTTGCGCTCGAGATCAGGACAAAGAGCGCACGAGGATTGAGGATCATCATGAGCACGCCGGTGGCTTTTATCGAGCCCTTTCTTACTGACCGTGGGGATATCCGGCACCATGAAGAAGCAAGTGCGTAGGCACCGAACAGGATGCCGATCACGCAGGCAATACCGGCCACGATCAAGTAGAACAACATGTCTGGGTCCACACCGATAAGAGACGCGTATTTCTCCGCCCTACACACCGGTAGTCGACGTCGACGAACCCGAGCCGGAGCTGCCACTCGAGCTACTGCCAGTCTAAAGCAGACACCGGGATTGGTCCGTCGAGTTGTCATCCGACGACGAAGCGTTGTTCTTGCCGAACGAGAGGAAGGTGAAGGCTGCTGGAGCCATCTTCTTTTCGTATGCTCTCCATGAAATGAGGCCGAGCGTCCACATGTCGGAGTTGCACGAGAGTGGAGACCCTTCCGGTCACAAGGGCGTCGTCGCGGAGGACGTCGGCTGCAAGGCTGAGGTGGCTAGTGCGATGCTGGCTGGGACTTAGAGCGGGAGGAGTGAGCTGCTGGGATCACTTTGAAGAGTGGACGCCAAATGCGCAAAGTCCCACATCGCCTTGGACACACGTCAGCCACGAATCAGGTACATGTACTCGAAGTAGCATCGGGGACTCGGCGCACGCGATTCATATCGCCATCTAAAGCCCATCCGAGTGTGCATCGCGCAGCAAGACATGGTCTCGGCTGAGAGAGGGTCATCGGTCACGTCCGGGTCTTTACGGCGTCACAGAACGCCGAGAGAAAGATTTGTAGTTTGAAGTTTGTTGGATTTTGACTTAAGTTAAGTAAGACCCTCTTCAATAATAGCGCGCCGTGCCTTTGATTGGCTACATTTTTTTTATTTCAAGTTACGTTTTTTTCCTTTTGTAAATGTAGCGATATGTGAAGCCTATTAACGGATAGTGTACGCAGTATTTGCAAGCATGTCAAAGTAAACGCAGTATTTGCAACACCTATCACATGCACCAAGGCTTCTTTGCTGCATCTCAAGGCAAAGAGCGATTGGAATACTTTTATTTGGATCATATTTCGATCATCACATAAATGGTCAGTTGATCAAATCCCTGGACCCTGTCGAAAGTTGATCGCCTTCTTCAGCGTTGCTCAGTACGATGACGAATGGGATGGAGATCAGCACCCCTTTGTGATTGCTAACGGCGATCGCACGGGCTTTAGTTTCCTCGGTGACTTCCTTAACGGATGGGATGTCGACGTCCTTCAGGCAGCTGTGGGTCAGTGCGCTGACAAGAACTACTTTAACTTAGGCGAATGTGCCCCTCTTTCTGCCTCTTTCAGTGACGAGGCCCCCGAAATGCGGTGCATTACCCGGCCACAGATAGTTAAGGATTATGATCGTGGTGAAGCTCCCTGGTAACAACCTCGTCGATGGTGAAATTGCGAATCCTGGTAGCAACCAAGCAGCTTCGTTCTTGAATTCGACGTCGTCTTCGGGATCTAGCCATGCAGCCGAGACCTGACCAAATACCGCCGTTGATAACGTGTTCCAACCTTTGATGTTTTTGTTATTATTACATGCGTGAACATCACGAACGGCGGCTGATGTACTTAACCGGAACTGTGACATTTGGCGTAAGCTTCCATCGAAAAAACTGTAAAACCACCCTTATTCAATTACTTTTAACAACGGATTTTAAATAATACTTAAAAGTTTTAAAATTGAAAAAAATATTGAGCTCACACCACTCATAAATGTATCGTCATTTCGAGGGCCCATAAATGGAAATAATTTTTTGAGCGACCACAACTTCTTCGGTTTTAAGCATTCAGTAGCTTATAAGGGCTCAAGAGATAGAGGAAACGCCCCGCTTTAGTTTAGAGCGCTTAAATCGCGATTCGCACTTAGGTTCGTAAGCTCTATTTTGTTTTGCGTGGTCTCATCTGTACTACTAAGTCAATCGACTGAGAGGCTGTCCATACAAGAAAGTGATATTGGCCATTCTTAGCTGTTGTATGAGCATGCCAAACGAGTTCTATCAAGCCGCTTGTACAACTGAGGCCTAAATAGATGTATATATTTGCTTGACTTATTATTTCACCCTGATAATTCAGCTACTTCTCTTTTTGTGCTGCATGTATAAGTTCATTTGGCTGGCCATAAAACTCTGAGTTCAGGCTGACCAAGCTCGTGTAATGGATGGACTCTTCATGCAGTGTGAGAAGTTGTCGGAGCACAGATCCGACGGACAGTGGAGTTTGAATAACAGAAAATTTGCCCGTGGAGTGTCTGTCCAAACCTGGGGCGTGTTCAATCTAGGAAATACTCGACCATCTGAAAGTACTCAAGCTCAAAGACAAGCTGTGTGAGGCTGGAGACGAGCGCGGGATGTCATTCAAGAGCAACAGGTTTTAATTCACCAGAGCGACAACCGTGGCATGGAAGGGAACGAGTTGATGGAGCTTTGTTCGCGTGAGCTGTTGGACATTGCTGAGCAGGGCCCTCCGCTGTTGATTTGGGCCATCTAGCCAGAAAAACACCTGTGCACTATGAAAAAGTAAAGAGGAAGTTGGATACGGAGCTAGGAATTGCAAACCAGCGCGTTGTGGCGGAGAAAAGACGGAAGGCCAATGCGGCCTTTTGTGCTACTGTATGCTCGAAGATTAACATGAGGCTTGCCGGCAAGAACGCGGTGCTGAAAGGTGCTCTTCCGCTGATCCGTACTGCGTCCTCGATCAGTATTGGAGTCGATGTGGAACGTGGTAGATATGGGATGTGTGATCAGCCTGCGTTTGCCGCAGCTGTGGCGTCGACGGGCGTATTCTGCGCGATACGTAGCGCGTGTGTCAGTCCAGAGCGGTGCCTCCGACCACTAACTACAGCATCAAGGATGAGGAGCGCAACAAGCTCAAGCGGATAGACAAGTACCAACGCTTCATTATCTTCGACGATCTGATTTTAGATCAACAAGCAAACGTTCAAGCGAAACAGTATTTCATAAAGGGGCGCAAGTTAGGCTTCTCAATGCTGTACATCGGTCAAAGCTTCTTTCAAATACCTAAGATGATACGAGACAATGTGCAATAATTCATCCTCGGAAGAAACCTTCTAAACAAAAATCTCCGTCTGATCTTGACTTGTTTTCCCACTGAGTTTAATGTGGTGTAGCGAGATCAGCAAAATCTGCGAGATTGCCAGATCCAACTTACCAACTGCGCCCAGACACCGACTAACGGAGGGGGTCCCCCAATGATCCGTGTTCTGCTGAACTTTCCTCACCTTGTGTACCCGTCGGTAGGGCGGGATCTGCTCTCTCGGTAACTTCCGAAGAGTTCAAGTGGTGAAGCTTGAGTGTCTTGGCGAGACGTGGGGATGGGGTGGAGCAGCAGTGGAAAATCTTCACTCTGCGTCCGTGGATGGTTCCGAATCCTAAGCGAATATTCGAGCTTATGGATCCGGGGCCTAGATCGTGGATCCGGCCGTAGGGTTGCCTTACGGGTGTGCTCCCTTGCCTTTGCGTTTCCTTTGCGTCGTACTTGCCGCCTCCTGTGACGGGATCTTGAAAGTTGAGAGCCTCTAGGGTGTAACCGACCAAGTAGTAAATTCGGTTAACCGGTCGGATCTGCACAAGCAAAGGAAAAGCTCACTAGGTTGTAGGATCTGGACAATGTATTATCCAGTTATCACTACCAACACTAGATTCTCAATTCCCAACCTTCTCCGAGCTCGTACGGCCAAATGTAGTTCCGGTTCTTGAGGGCAGGAAGGCACTTGCGTGATACTGTGCAAATTGAGTTCTGTATTGATATTTAAGCCTATACCTGCCTGGATGTCTACCTTCTATGTCTTTCATCTGCTAAATCCCTTACCAGGCTCGGCTGCATGTCCCTTCTTCCCTTGACCCATCATCCCAGCTGTGTTATTTTCAGATCCACCGGATTCATGACATAATCATCATGGTCACCCTATTATGGGTACACTCATCCGGACCCAGGTCGTTTGGATCCACTTCACTGTAATTGTACATTCGCCGTGGATCCGAGCTCTCCAATCGTTCGACATCATCTCGCAACCGTCTGTGATCTCCATTGTCCCACGAAAGTTCGAGATCCACTGCATCCATCATCCTTATACCCTGGATCCAGGTCCCTCTATGCGGGATCCTCCCCCCTTGGATCCGAACCCGGAAGTATGGGATCCGGGGTACCTCGCGGTGGATCTTGACTTCTCGTTAGCCGTGGCTACTAGATCCACCTTTGGATGGCACCTACCACCATTCCTTCATAGGATCCACACTCGATCCACTGGTACATAGTATATCCCATATCCACCTAAGTGAATCCAGGTAAGGGTGGATCCGAGATAAGTCTTGGTGGATCTTGCCTTCCCGTACATCGCTCATACCAGATCCATCGTCATTCCATACGGGGTGCCGCTCGTCATGGCTAATCCACCACAGGCAACTGCACCCGTGCAGAACAACCCAAATCCTCTCTAATCACTTGAAATTGTCACTG